AGCCTGCTTCTCCCTCTCCCACTCCCCCTGCTTGTGTTCCCTCTCTCGCTGTGTCTCTGTCAAATAAATAAATAAAATCTTAAAAAAAAACCTGGAAAGTACATAGAAACTTCCGTAAGCAGAAACCATGACCTCCTGTAGCCCCACCGCCCACAGGCAAGTGCTGTTACTGCTGTCTGTACCTTAATACCACCTAACTGTCCATATATTGTCTTCTCTGCAGATTTCCGATCCTTTCCTACACACGATTTTGTTGTCTACTGTTTTCCTCACAGCATGATGCTATTCCCGTGTTCTCATTCCACTGGCAACTTTTAGTAACCGTTCATTTCACGGGTTACCTCCAATGCTGTCTCAACCCTCCTTTGCGCATCTGGGTGATTTCCACGATTACACTCTTGTAAACAGCACTGTGATGGACATCTCCATGCATAGCCTTGCCTGGACATTTCTGATGACTTTTGGATGGCGACTGTCATTAACCATAGCTTGTGCTTGCTGCCTCCAGCACCCAGTGCTCAGCCCAGCCCTCATTAGTTACTCAGTAAATACGAGCAAAGTTTGGACTGAATGGTTGTTAGCTCCTGACAAAGCTCTCACCATGATTGCTGATGAGCCTGCAGGATGAGCGATGTCAGAATGTTATTGGAATGTTGGTCCGTACCCTTTCTTCTCATCCAAAGGCTAAGGGGGTGATGATACAAACAGACTAACAAACAGCCTGATTGGGAAAAAGGCAAAGGATTTGAATATAGATTTTTTTTCCAAAAAAGATAAGACAAATGGCCAATAGGCACCGGAAATTTAGGGAAATAAAATCAAAACATTGAGATACCACTTCATACCCTGTAGAATGGTGATGATAAAAACAAAACAAAACAAAACAAAAAAAACAACCCAGAAAACAGCAAGCATTGGCGGGGATGTGGAGAAATTGGAACCCGTGTGCCTTGCCGGTGGGAATATAAAACAGTGCAGCCGCTATGAAAAACAGTATGCTGTTTGTCTGAAAAAAGAAAAATAGAATTACCCTATGATCCAGTAATCTTACCTCTGGGTATCTCCCCGAAAGAGTTGAAGGCCGGGTCTTGAAGAGATACCTGTACACCCAGGCTTACGGCAGCTTTACTCACAATAGCCAAAGGGTAGAAACGACCTGAGCGTCCACTGGGGGGATGCGAGTGTAAACAGATGTGATCTGTCCACACAACAAGCTATTACTCAACCACAAAGAGGAGGAAATTCTGACCCATCCGCACCGTGGATGAACCTCGAGGACGTTGTAGGGAGTGCAATAGCCAGTCACAAAAGGATGAACCCTATATGACTCCACTCACATGAGACACTTAAGAGCAGTCAAATTCATAGAGACAGAAAGTGGAACGGTGGTTGCCAGGGGCTGGAGGAGGAGGAGGGGAGCGGGGAGTCCGTGTGTAATGGGGACAGAGTTTCAGTGTTGCAAGGCGGACAAGTTCTGGAAGTGGGGGAGTGGTGACAGGTGCACAGCATGTGAGTGAATTTAATGCTACTAACTACATGACGCATAAAAAGGTAGATTTTTATGCCATGGGTATTTTACCACAATTAAAAAAATAATACGGGGTGCCTGGCTGGCTCAGTCGATGGAGCGTGCCACTCTTGATCTCGGGGTCATGAGTTCAAGCCTCACGCTGGGGGTAGAGCTTACTTAAAAGAATATTTTAAAAATGATAATAATAAAAAAGAAGGTTAAGGGGAGGTGAAAGTCCTCACTTCTCTTTTCTCCTCCGAAAGTTTTCCACCCTGTTCAGCTCATGGAAGGAACTAATCTGGAACTTCTATGACTTTCCAGGAAGGTATTCCCGTGCCCTTTGATCTCCCGGAGCCTTCCCCGGGGACCACGGTGGCTGTGGTGGACCAGAACCCTTCCCAGGTAACGTGGGGCCCAGCAAACCCAGGCTCTCAGACACCACAAGGCTTTGCTTTGACATCCCAGATGTCTTAAGCTGCAAGTTGTCAGTGCTGTCTGCCCTTGGAATCACCCAGGGATTGTTAAAGACCCTGAAGCTGGTGATCCGCTCCCAGACTGATCCAAGGGTGTGGCCTGGGCAACGAATCTCCAAACCCCCTCAGGTTGACAACCCCCTCCATGCCTGATGTCCGAGACTGGCTTAACAGGCACCCCACCTGGCAGCCCAGGGTGAGCTGAGGGGGCTCGGGGCCAGTGCCCAGTGGTATCTTGCCTGGGAAGGTCAGGCGTTCAGACGCAGATGCTACGTCCGCAGAGACTGGGAGAATAGGGGCCACTGGGGGATGGAGAATGGGGGGCGGTGGGGGGATCCACGCATTTATGGGCTTTAGTGTGGGGAGATACCCGAGTCTTTACTTTCCCCATCCCAAGAATCCACTGGGCCGACCCCAGACCTGCACCTCTGCTCAGCCATCTCTCAGGACGGCCCTGAACCATTTCTCTTGACTTGCCAGGTTCAGGTCTAATGTCGGTGACTTTGAGTACATCCCTTCGCCTCTCTCGGTCTTGTTTTTTTCCCGTCTCTAAAGTGGGAACGATAGCATGCCCTGGATGGTTGTGAATGTTTACGAGATCTGGCACCCAGAGCACGGGGCATGGTGCTTGGTCCACAGGTCACATGTTTCTCCTGCCATGGGATACCCCAGGCTGCCACTTTTCTCATTCTTTGTCTCCTGTCGGCCACCCTTGGCCATCTCTTCCGAGCCTTCTCTTGGCTCCTAGAGGCCTGCACCTGTCCCTGCAAAGCTGCCTTGTCCGTGAGCCCTGCCGGTCATTGCCTGTTTATGCTTCTCCTTGGCACCCCCTCCCTGTCGTGCTTCCTGACCCAGAAGAGGCAGCTGGAAGGGACGACCCGGTCAATGGGAGGATGGAGGGGCCACGGGGTCCCCTGGATGCCTGGGCAGTGGCTGGGAAGAGCTACCTTCTGAGGATGGGCTGACTGTCAGTGTCAACCCCATAAAGAAAGGCAAGGTGAAGCCTCAGGATATCTGGGATCTGGTCCCTGTTCTGCCCCTGTGGCTCTCCATGTGACCCTGTATGTGTCCCTTGTATTCTCTGGGCCTCTGAGGGGGGTGGGCCAATATTTCCCAGTTCGGGTGCCCAACTATTCTGGGTTGCCAAGGGACTTTGCTGCCTTCAGAGCTGAAATCCTCATGTCCTGGGAAGTCCCTGAGTCCCAGTCACCAAGGGACAGCTGGCCACCCCATGCACCACACACATTTCCTCCATAAACATTTGGTGCCATTTTGGGTGATGCCAACTCCCTGTGGGCCCTTGGACGAGCCACTTAGCTTCTCCAGGCCTCTCTGGTTGCCAGAAACAAAACTTCAGAGTTACCTGGATGGTTTCTAAAGCTCGTGGCTAGATTTCAAATTCCGTGCCTACGCTATTGAACCTAGTTCACCTTCTCCTCTAGAACATTCTTTGGGCACTCTCCCCTCCCACCTTAAGATCTTAGTTTAAAAAAACATAGACTTCTAAGAAGTGATGCGGATGAACTCACTCCTTTGATGTTTAGCTGTGTACAAATACACACAGCCTGGGGTGTGTAGCTAGAATGGGTAATTTATGGAGTGCTTTCCCTTGTTAATTCCCCACTACCTGAGGAAGGTATTGTCAGTCTGCATTTTACATAAAAGGAAATGAGGCTCCTAGTGGTGCAGTAAGTGACCCAAGGTCACACAGGATGTGAGGACAGAGGCTGGATTCGGACCTCCTAAAACTGAGGGGTTGTAACAGTTCTGGGGTTTCCACACCGGGAGTCTGGGGGTGCGTTGGGAGCATGGCTTCGGGCTGGCGTGTCTGAGTCGTGATGCCGGGGACTCAGATGCCCCGACTCCCAGAGGTGGGAAGAGAAGCCCAGGACTGGCCTCGGTCGGGGAATCAGGGCTCCACAGTGATCCTGGATTTTCTGCCAGGTCCGCTTACCAGCCGTTGGAGGTGCAGAGGACGCCAGGGGCCTTTTCTGGCTCTTGGACGAGGAGGTCCGGGTGGAGGGTTCCAGTGATAGCGTGGTGCTCGAGCGTCTCCGTGCGGCCTTTGAGAAGAAAGGCGCTGGGGCCGAAGGTAAGGGAGTCAGGTTGAAGGACGAAGGGAGAAGAGTGCTGAGTCCAGCCTGGGAGGTGGAATCCGTCCTTGTCTGCTGCAGAGAAAGCCCTGACAAGGCCTGCAAGAGGCAGGGTGGGGGGGGGTCTGAGTGACAGATGTCTGTGCATATGCCTGTGTGTGCTTTCATTCATTTACCAGTCAATGAAATTTATCAATCAGTTTAATCAATTAATTAGTTATTTACTAATCATCAATCAATCATTTATTGATTGATGATCAGTGTAGTCAACAAATGTATTGACAGGCTACTGTGTGCCGGGCACCATGCTACGCAGGGGCGAGCCAGCCGGATGGGGCTCACATGCTTGTTGGGGGAGGACATGCGGGGAGTGTGGACAAGCTAACAGATGAGCCCGTCTGTGTTTGACCCCAAGATGACAGACCCTAGCGCTTGACGGTTCATCAGGCAGACCGAATTCCTCCGGGAGCCAGGGGGCCTGGGGGAGAGGCGTGCAGGGAAATGTGCCAGAGAAGAGGAGACGCAGTGCGGGACAGCCAAGTCGGAGATGTTGTCTGGGCTCAAACCGTCGAAGGCCCACTTGTGGGCCACACGAAAAAACATTTGTTTCAACCCTAGAGCTCTGAGAAGCCATGAAGGATTCTAGGCAGCAGGAGGTATGGTCAGATTCACGTTCTGGAAAGTTCCTGCAGGCGGTGGTGAGGAAGGTGGTCTGGGAGGTGAGAGAGGAGGTGGCCGGACTCCAGGAGTATGCAGCCACAGCACTGGGCGATGGGCTGGACTGGGGGGAGGGGGCATCGAGAGGAGAGATGGAGACATCCGGATGGAACCACGAGGTTGGAGGTCCTGGGCTTTGGCTTCGTTGAGCTCCAAGTTCAAGTCCGGCTATCTGTGCTTCACCAATGGCGACGCTGAGCAAACCTCGCGTAGCCCCAGGTGGAGTGCTCACACAATGCCGGAGGGGGGGGCCTACACTGATCATCGATCAATAAATGATTGATTGATGATTTCGCCAGGATTTCTGTGACAATGATTGGGTGAGAGAGGTATTAGCTTTGTTACCGGCTGCGGAGTGTCATGAGGGCTGATCGATGAGCACAGGGCTGTTGATGGCGATGAAGAATATTGTCCCCGTCAGTTAAGGGGTTGGAGGAATGCTGTCCATTCTCCACACTTGGCACTGAGCTCAGAGCTTCATGTACGCTGTCTAATCGAATTCTGTCACCTGTCTGGTGGTTGGTATTCTTACCCCCCAAGGTGAGGACACTGAGCTCCAGAAAGATGCTTGTAGAGAGGTCTAAGATCACCCAGAGGGTGTCAGCAGGCAGATGCAAAACAATCTCTATCTGGATTAGAATCTCTTGTGACCCACCCCTGGCTGCCCAACTCCACCCAGATGCCCTGAGACTTCTCCGAAGGCAGATTTCGCTTTGAGATCTTCCAGGTCCCCGCTGGTGTGGCTCATTCATTCAGCAGTATTTACTGAGCACCTAACATGGCAACCGCTGTCCTGGGCCACGAGATACATCCCGAACAAGACAAATATCTCCGCCTCCGTGGGGCTGACATTCTAGCAAAGGAGATGGATGATAAAATGAGGAAATCTGTAAGAAGGTTGGGGTCCACAATTCTGGTTGAGATCACTCAGGGAATCCAGGTTGGCAGAGACAATGGCCCAGCAGTCAGCCCCGGGACATTCCAATGTCAGGGCGCAGGGATGAGGCCAGTGACCAGGAAATGCAACCGAGGAAGGGCGGCCAGGGGGTAGGAAGGAGGGAGGGTACTGGCCTCCCTGACCTCTCAGGTGAGGCGTGACTGAGAAGTAGCCATTGATTTGGACACGAAGAGGTCAGTGGCAGCTGAGATGAGTGCCATTTTGATGGAATATTTGGGGCAAACGTCCACTTGGAGTAGTGTATGGGAAACTGGGAGAAGGTGTGGAGAAAGACGCATGATGGCTCTCTTTGCTGCTGTCTGCTGGGCTGGCGACGGCAAAAGCCTGTACCCCAAAGGGACCTGCCAAGGCCTCTGTCCCGGACGTTCACGGGGCCTTCCTGCATTCGCATCAGGACCAGATTTTCGGAGCAGAAGCAGTGGAAGCATCCGAGGGTTCCGGCCGCTTTCCCTGGAGCAAGCTCAGGGCACTGGTACCCAAATTAGTCCCAGAGGATTTGGCCCTGCAGTGACTGGCCCAGGGCCAACTTCGCCACGCCCAGCGCTTTTAGGGGCCCATGCAACTGTTTTAATTTTTGTTACAAGCAGAGAAAAAAATGAACTTTCAGGTCAAATATGATATACATGTATACCTGTCTATATATGTACGTGCGTATGGATGTTTATACGTACGTATGTATGAATGTTCTGGGCTGACTTGGATCCCACCTCAAATCCACGTGTTGCAGTCCTGGCCTCCAGAAGTTCAGAATGTGACTGCGTTTGTATTTGGAGAGAGGGTCTTTAGAACGGTCATTAAGGTTAGGCGAGGTCATTGTGGTGTGTCCTAATTTCATACGACTGGTGTCCTTACCAGAAGACATCAGGACTCAGACGTGCGCAGAGCAAAAAGGCGGGGAGAAGGCAGCCAGCTCCAAGCCCAGGAGGGAGGCCTCACAGGAGACCAACCCTGCCCACACCTTGACCTCGGGCTTCCAGCCTCCAGAACTTTAAGAAAATACATTTCTGTTGTTTAAGCCGCCCCCCACCAAGCTAGGGGACCCCCAGGTATGGCAGCCATAGCAGACTAATAGAGTGTACTTAAGTATTACTAATATTATTTGCCCGGATACCAATATCGTCATGAAATATAACTTTTTTTAATCCATATATGTTTGAACGGAAGAAGGGGCCCATGAAGGCAGAAGGGCTGAGGGCCCAGGCAGGTCACGATGCAGCCCTGGACTGCCCTCACCCTGCAGGGTCCTCATGCTTGACTGACTCCTGGCCACAATCACCTCTGTTCTCCCAAGGTCACCTCTGTTCTCTGAAATACATCTGCCTCTTGGCCGGCTGGTGAACGAGGAGGGAGGGGCAGAGAGAATGGCTCTTAGTGGAGCTCTTAGTCTGAGCCTCGGATTGTGGGTTCTACTGCACCCCACGCACAGTGGGGTCCCTGAGAAGCCAGGTGGCTTATCGGCCCTGGAGGCAACTGAGTACAGAGCCAGTGCCGAGCCTGGGAGTCCTCTCCGCACAGGCCACGCAGACCCACCACCCTTCTCTGGGCTCTGAACGTGGGCCCTGTATTCAGAGCATGACCCCAGGGCGTGGGAGTGGCTTTGTGGGGCCGAGGAAGAGCGTCCCTCAGATTCACGCGACGCCAGGAGACAGAGCTATGAAAAGCTTACCCAAGCTTTGGACCCCAGAGATCTGGGCTGCATCCCAGTCCCACTGCTTAAGTGCAAGGCCTGTGGCTTCTGGGAAGTCACCTCCCCCGTCTGTAAAATGGTAATAATGGTAACACCTCCCTCAGGGGGTTTGTGTGAGGACGGATGAGCTAATGTATGGACGCATGTCCGAGTCCTCCTCCCTCACCTTTGTGCACAGAGGGCTCCTCCTCAGAGACCCTGCAGACCCCTGTCTGAAGCTGTCCGCTCTGCAGCCCTGCGGACCCATCCTGACTCCCTCGTTACTTCCTTCACGGGCCTCTCGGGCTCTGGAACGTTTGGTTATCCACTTGCCTCTTCCCCATCCCCCCGACTACCCTGTGTGACCATGGAGGGCGCCGGGCAGGCCTCTGTCTCCTTCTCTGCTCTCTCCCCTGTGCCTGGGCATAGCCAGGCCTCTGTGGACGTCTGCTGTTTGCCCTTCCTCTCTCCTCCCTCGCTCTGTTCCAGTCACTGTTCCAGTCACACTGCTCTCTTGGCCGCTCCTCAAACCCACTGAGCATGCTCCCGCCTCAGGGCCCTCACACTGGCAGTTCCCTCTGCCTGGAATGCTCTTCTGCCACGTTTCCGCATGACTGGCTCCCTCACCGCCTTTGGGTCTCGGGAGCCTGCCTTTTACCTAGTGAAAAATAATGCCTTCTTCCGACCCGCACCCCCTTCTCCCTTACCCCTGCTTTTCCCGCCTCCCCTGCAGCCCTCATGCCAGACGGCATGCGTGTGTCCTCACGGGAACATCTGCTCGTGAGGGCAGCGCTGGCTGCCCCCCACCCCCTCCGCCCCACAATGCTCTGGTCTGGAGAAGGCTCCAGTTCATCCTTGATACAGAATAGATGAATATGGGAAAACCCTATGATCCAGAATCAAACAAAATGGATTTCTCGGACGGAATGTGTCCTGGATCCTGACTTAAGCAAATGACACAGGAGGCTCAGAAGGAGAAGGCATCAGGGAGGGCGTGGTTGGGGCAGGAGGGGGTCCGGCGAGATCCTTGTCTCCCTCTTCTCCTTCTCCTGTGAGGCCCGACCTGCCAATCCCAGACACCCTGAGAGGGATGCTCTGACGTTGTCCGTTCCCAGGAGAGAGACTGTGATATCCTTTGTCCTGGCCCGACAGAGAGAGACCCGTTAATTCAGATATTTTGGTTAAAAAAAAAGATCTTTTGTCTCTAGGGCTTTCTGATTAGCTCTGAGTTAATGAGAATGTTCCATCAGGCAGAACATGAGGGGCTTTCTGGCGACCCCAGTGCTTGCTGTTACTTCTCCACTAAGTGTCTCTGCTGGCCCGGCGGGCTGCTCCTGAGGGACCCAGGCCCAGTGGACAGGCAGGTGACAGGCATCTGCAGGGCAGACGTAGAGGGGGGTTGCCGGGGTCACTGGGGCCCCAGAAGCCCCTACCCCCATCTGGGGGTGTCAGGCTCCTGGGAGAGGTGATGATGCAGAGTCACGAGAGAGGAATACTGGGTCAGGCTCTGTCTTCGAGCTGTTTCCATGGGGCTCCTGAGAGCAAACGTTGTCCGTGAAATGCTTGGATGAACAAAACTGTGGTTGAAACCACCTGCCGAAGAAAGGGGAGCGTAAGAGGGCCGAGCAGACGCCCTGGGAGCCTGGGAGTGGTCTCCCCGGGCTGTTCCTGGGAAATGGGACGCCTCCGTGTATCAGGCCACCACCGGGGATGAACACAGGCTTTGGGTCGGCAGACCTGTGTGCTCATCCCAGCTCTGTCCCTGTATGCTATGCCACTTCAGCCAGGGGGCTCATCTCCGAAGCTCAGTGTCACCTTCTAGAAAACCAGCCCACGGACACTCACTTCACAGACCAGAGCGGGATCAGGGGACCTCAGGCATGGCCGTGTGTCCAGCAGAGGCCGGCTGGGGCTTAGCCCACGTGGACGTCCTGTCTTCTCTCTTGCCTTCGGTCCCCCCTCCCCAAATGCTCCCAGGGTCCTCATTCAGAGCCCAGCTCTGTGCTGGCTGCGAGACATAATGATGCGGGAACATGGTTGCTGCCCTCAAGACGCTTCTAATCCAGGGCAAGGAGGCGGCCATGCAAACAGCGCGGACATCGTGCGGGCAGCGTGGACGGACGTGCCAAGGCAGGCGGCCACTTTGTCACCTTGCTTTCGTTGGAAGGTGGCCCTTTGAGGGCGGGGACTGCGGGCTCCGAAGGCCTCATGGAAGAGCTGGACAAAGGGATACTTTACTTCACCAGAAGTGTCCCTTGCTGGTAACTTCGGTCAGCCCTGGGTATTGACCACAAAGGACCTCCAAGAAGCCACACACATGGCAGGACCCATGTCCCTCACGCACCAGAAGCCCACAGACTCCCAGATGGCATTTGCTGCGTACGGAGTTCCAAGAAATGCGGCTTTCTGGTCTCCGGACTCCCTGCAGCAGAGAGGTGGCAAATTCGCATTTGAGGGAAGGACTCAGGACCCTAGAACGCACTGGTGCGTTGACAGTAGGAAGATGGGAACTCATAGAATTGCAGAAGACAGACAAGAACCAAAACAGTACTACCGCTCCTGAGAGTAATTGGTCTGGGGCCATTACTCAACCCGAGAGCATCACTGCAATTAGAGTGATATGATTAATGACCAGGATTCCTCTCTTCCTTCCTCCCTTCCTTCCCTCCCTTCCACAAGCACTTCCAGACTCCATTCGTGTACCAGGCACCGTGCTGGTGTTAGGGATACGGACATAAACGTTTGTGGCTCCAGACACTGGCACAAGGTTGAATGCAAGAAAAGACTGTGACGCCCACTCGGGCTTACTGAGTGACAACCAAGGGTCTGGGCACTACGCTAGCATATTTTACGCACATTATCTCCTTTAAGTTTTGTACCACCCTGGGAGGTACGTATAATTCACATTTTACAGAGGAAGAGACTGAGGGTCAGAGATGGAAGAGGCTTGGCCCCTGCCACACAGTGGTAAGTGGTGGTGTCAGGATTTGAACGCAGGCCTGCTCTCGAAGCTCCAAGCCCCTTCTTTTCTCCTGTCCTGTCCCTTGCAACCGAGTGTGTGTCGGAGTCTCCCAAGAGTATGCTGTGCATTTATTTGTTTATTTATTTATAAAAATGATTTTATTTATTTGAGAGAGAGAGAGACAGAGAGAGAGAAAGAGAGACCACGAGCAGGGGGAGGGACAGAGAGAGAAGCAGACTCCACGCTGAACAGGGAGCCTGACGTGGGGCTGGATCCCAGGACCCTGAGATCATGACCTGAGCCGAAGGCAGACGCTTAACCAACTGAGCCATCCAGGCGCCCCTCTGCTGTGCATTTATTTGGTTGGTACCATTCAAGACAATTTTTGGTGGCACACAAATATTTGCAAAATATTTAATGATTATGTATTTATTTCCACGAGTATCGGAAAATACAGCATGCACACCCAACCTACCATGACACGCTTCTTTATAAATGGATCTTACCTGTTGATAAATGTTTGTCGATTTAAAAAAAATATTAAGTAATTAACAACCCAGGTGGTACTTGGGTATGGCAAAAATCGTGAAGATCGTCTGTACTGATGGTATGTGGGGAAAACAGGTATCCTGTGTTTAAGAAAGCAAGGAGGACCCGGTTCTGTGTTGGAAATGATGCTCAGACATGCGTACAGGGAAGAGAGGTAGGTGCCCAGAACTGTTAGCTTTGGATCTCCGGAAACATATTTAAGTGGAAAAAGTGTGTTTTTGGTGATGCCAAGCGATTACGGAGTGTCCCCCCACGTACCCCAACACTTACATGCTATGTCCGCTTTCAGGGACCTCTGCCCTCCGGTCCTGTGAGCAGCCCCTCCAGTTCGAGATCTTCCACCAGCTGGGACAGGACCCCGTGCGCTACGACCTCATGGGCTGGCTCCACAGAGCCAAGCCCAACCTCTCGGCCCTGGACGCCCCGCAGGTGCTGCAGCAGTCAAAAAGGTGAGCCTGGCCTGGGATAGGGACTGGCCTCCCCACCGGGGCCACGCCATCCCAATGACTCAGCGAGGGAGGGTCCGTCCAGCAGCCCCATCCCTCAGATCCAATGGGTCCCTGGGGCCAGCGCGGCACAAACGCCAAAAAGCCAAGACTTCTTAACTTTGGCTGCTTGCCTTTCATTAAGTATCTGGAAGATGATGTGACTGGAACGATTTTATGGACATCCTAGGACTAGGGGGTCATAAAACGAAAGCGATAACGTTTTGTGGTGTCAAAAAAAAAAGCACACTGCTTTCTCTGACAGCTCTGCTCAGAAAGTGTTAGCAGCAAGCGCGGCTTGTGGGCCACAGCTCCTGGAAAATGCTTCTGTGGGTGTATGCGCTGATCCTCCCTGCTTCGCTGCTGGAACCATGCAGGGGCAGAGCTAGGACACCAGAGAGAAGCTGAGAGCACCAGGGAGGAGCTGGGGGGCGTGGGAAGGGGGAGGAGACACTTACCACCCACGGCAGTGTGCCCAACGTCAGGATAAACGCTCCATAAGTATCTTGCTTATCCTTACAACAACACTGCCTCCTTAGCGCCATTTCACAGATGGGAACACTGAGGCCCCAGTCGGTGAAGTGGCCCTCCTTTGATCACACAGCAAAAGAGTGGCAGCACTGGGATCCACTTGGGTCTACGTACGTGGTCCTTGCCGAAGTTCTCGGCACATGATGGTCCGAGTCGATAGGAAAGCCCGTATGCAGGAGGGTTCAAGGGTATGCAGCTCCTGAAAGGAGATCAAGCGGGGGGAGGGGGGGCAAAGGAAGGTCCACGAGCACAGAGAGGAGAGCATGGAGAGCCAGGGGACCGGAGTCAAGTCCCAGCCCTGCCCCTCCTCACCTGGGTGACTGTGGGCAGTCTCTTTCTCTCCCTTGGTTTTGTTGGCTTGTTTGGCTTCCTTCACCATAAAATAAGTGTGTGTTGGACCAGGCTGCAAGATCGGGTGGATACTGCACAGCCTTGGAGTCAGGCAAATGTTCAGCTTCTCCTTTCACCGCCTTTAAGCTGCGAGATGTGGGCCTCAGTTTCACATTCGGAGAAGTGGGAATGACGGGGCCAGGCTTCCGTGTTTGCCGTGAGGCTTTGGTGGTATAACGTAGTGGAGGGCTTACGATGGAGCCTGGTTCAGAGCAGGCCCTCACCTCACACCTGTGGCCTCATGCATCCTTGGGCTCTAACGTCCCATGGCTCCAGTCCTCTGGGCAAGAGGTGGAGGGGCAGGAAAAGGGGAGGTCAAGCCTTGTTGACCCGATGCTCTGGCGAGTGAGGGACATTCGGGGAAGAAGGAACAGCATGTATAAGGTCGTGGCCCATGGGAGTGAAAGAACACGGCAGGATTGAGGGTAAATTCTATTAGGATGTCTTGCGTGCTTGAGAGCCAAGCATTGGTGATTTTTGAGAGCAAACGGTGCTGTTTTAAAGGTGTAGTTTTACCCCCAGGAGTGCCAGATTCACTGCTGGTCTAACATTCCAATTTCTGGGTCCCACCCGATCTCTTTGGGGACTCGCTTTGTCCATAGGCTTCCCTGGAGGTGCTTATGCACACTCAAGTTTCACTGCTTTGGTCCAACCCTTCTGTTCCATATGTATCAAGCTGAGACCCAAAGCAGACATGACCTGCCCAAGGGCACACCTCCCACTGAAAACCGCCAAGTCAGATCTACCTACCCCAGGGCTGGGGCAGTCCACAGATGGGGGTCAGGGCTATGGGCACAGCCTCTTCTCCCTGTACCAGGGGGTGGTGCCCACCTCCCCCACGGCCCTGACCTCTCCTCTCAGAGCTCCTGCTTCTGGGGTGGGGGCCTCCCCCAGATCCTCCCCAGCTTTTTATTTCAATACCAGTGTAGTCAAGCCATTGTGAATCTTTGTGCTCTGCCAGGCATTTAACCACTTTAAATACCTTTGGATCGTTTGGACGACGATCCTTAATAGTTTGGATAGTCTGGTGAGGCATAGAAGGAGGCAGATAGCAGGGCAGCCTGGATTGCAGAGAGTGATGGAAATTGCTTGCGTGCTTTCACTGGAGGGGGAGGGGGCCGATGGGACCCCGGAGGCACGAGGCCATCTCTGGCTTCCAGCCCCATTCAAGGGTACCGCAGGGTCTTCCCGGCCTTCTTCGTCCTTATTGGCCCAAACAAGAAGGCAAGGGAGCTCAGATTCCTCAGAACAGATGCGGAGCCCTGGCCCTACAGCTATGCATTACAGGGGTGCCGAGGGAAGGCCCTGTCTGCCGCTGGGCATCAGGCCGGGCATTTCACTGATGCTATCTTGCAGGGCCAGAAACCGCCTCTTCAGCCCGTGAGTTGTCCATTCTTGCATGAACTGTATAGTCTAAGCACCTACTATGTGCTGGACCCAGGGACCTACTATGTGCTGGGCCTGTTCTAGGGAGAACCAAGGTGGCTTTGCTCCCTAAGAAAGTGCAGGCTCAGTGGGATTCCCGCAGGCCCATCAGTGATGAGGATAGCCAGTAGGTCTTCTCGCTGCTCTTGCTACTCGAAAATCAGGGGAGGGAGAGGCCCGGAGAAAGAAGCTGGCATTTGCCACAGAGCAAAGGGACTGGGGATTAAAGTGTAGCAGCTAGGAGGTGTGTTTCAAGGGGCGGGTTCAGGAAGCAGGTTCGCAAGAAGCGAGGTGGGCCCATTCCCCGTGAGCCCCTAAAGTCCCTCTCTCTTTCCCCTCCTCCCTGCCAGGGAGGAGGTGAGGAGCCTGTTCCAGCCCCGGGCCAAGCTGCCCCCCGTGTGCCGGGCCGTGGCCGGCCTGGAGGGTACTTCCCAGCAGGCCCTGCAGAGGAGCTGCGCAGTGAGGAGGGCGTTTGCCAGCAGCTTTGCTGCCGTGAAGAGGAAAGCCCCGTGCTCCCAGATCAAGCTACAGATGGTGAGCAGGAGCCCTGTCCCCATGGAGCCGGGGCCTCCACTGCCCCGCTCCCCACCCTCTTCCGGGATGAGTTATCAGCCCACATCATCTCTTACCTCCTCAGCAAGCCTGGAGGGGCAGGTCTCACCCTGCGCTCCACAGAGGAGGGAGCTGAGGCTCGGAGCAGCATAGAAACGTCCACCATCCCGTCCCTAATCTATCCAAATCTGAGGCCAAAGGCTGCGCTCCTCCGTGTTGCCTTGAGCAGCTGTGGCAAGTTCCCAGGATCCACGAATACCCTCTTGACCCGGGTGACAAATATCACAGCCAATCCAGCGCCACCTGAGCTTCCTCAGCTGTCCAATGCCTCATTTTCACCACAAGGCTCTTGTTGGGGGAAGGCAGCGGGATCTAGCATCGGCTGCAAATAGGTCACCGAGACACATCAATAACAAATGAGAACGCTGTGATTGGTCAGCGGTCAGGCTGAGTCCAGAAGGTGGGACATGGGAAGGGCAAGTTTTGAAAAAAGAAAATCTCATAGCATATTATACCGGAAAAGCCTCTAGGCCTGGGTCCTGGGTTCTAGCCCGCCTCTTCTGCGAGGGGTCTGTGTGACCTGGGGCCCTCTGGCTTGCCCTCAGTCGGTTACAAGGGCTGTTATAAAGTTCCCCTTTTTCTCTTGAGTGCAAATCAGGCCGTAGATAGGCAGTCCTTGGTATAGGACTTGGGGACCCCCAGAGATGCCCAGGCTAGGCTGAGCGTACGTTTGGGGAGCATCCCTGTCCGTCTCACCCCAGGGCAGCGGGCCTTGACCCCGTCCGTCTCCTCTTGGTCCTAGGATGCGCTGACCAGCGTGATCAGACGGTCTCAGATACACTTCATCCACTGCCTTGTGCCGGGCCCGGCGGTGAAGAGCAGGGGCGGGCAGGGGTCTCTGACCCCAGCGCAGCCCGGCGGAGATAAGTCGGGGACAGGCGGGCCTCTGTCCTTGGACATCCCGGCGTTGAGGGTGCAGCTTGCGGGGTCCCACATCCTGGAGGCACTGCGTCTGCACAGGACAGGTAAGAGACAGCCAGGGAGCGAGCACTTTGTGTCTGAGTCCTTGACATGCCCGCCAACTGGTAGCAACAAAGGGACAGGAGCACCAGCTACGTGCCTGAGCGTTCCACGCAGCATCCCGTTTTCTTCTGTAAAATAGTGAGCCCGTGAAAGGGAAGCTATGATTACAGATGGGAAAACGGAAGCTCCGAGAGGTGTTAGGACATGCTCAGGGTCATGCTGTGGTTGGACAGGGCAGAGTTAAAGCCCATCTTATCTCCTGAATGACATGTGCACTCCTGGAAAGCTAGGGCTGTGTCCGGCTCACCTTCCTTTCAACAGCAGATGTCCAGGGAGCTTCTACCTTGGGATGGCGAGTGGGATTCCCACAGTGAGCAATACCTTGACCTTAAGATGCTCAGCCTGGTTTGGGAGCTCAGGTGGGAACACGTAACAGGCATACGTCGTCACCCGGGGATGCAGGAAGTACCAGATGCATAGAGAGGAGGGAGCTCCGTGCTCTCCCTGGGGAGACTGGGGCAAACCTCTGGGAGGAGGTAACGTCTTACTTGGGTCATGATACAAAGTAAGCAGCTCATGTCTGGGAGGTAGAATGCGAGGCAGATGGATCAGCATATGCAAAAGCCCAGAGGCAGGGGAGAGCCTGGGTTTTTGGGGACTGGGGGGGGTTCAAGATGCGCAGGGCAGTTGCGGCTGATGAGGCGGGCCATCCGCTTTTGGAGGTTTGGTTTTCAGCGGGTCAAGCTGAGGAGATAAAGAGGGTGGCAGGGGGAAGACAGGAGTTGAATCAGAGGAATAAGTCTTTAGGTCTATATTTTAGAAAGCAAGCATGTGGCTGAGATTTCCACATAGCTCATCTTAGATGCTGAGTTGGCTCTGAATCCTTCTGATTCCTTTCTGCCTCTCAGACCCCAGAGGCCACCATGTGGATTCCCCTCCCTGACGTTAGAAAGGCTCAGGCATGTCATTGTCTCTGCAGAGGATGGGGTGGGGAGCCTGGCGAGGTGGGCACCTGTTCATTGAACTTCTTTGCGGTCACTGGCGCCCGGCTTGTGGCCCAGGCCCTGTGTCCTGCCACCCCGTTAAGAGCCAGCACCAGGAGCACCAGGAATTTGACAGAGAAGCTGGAAACAACTGGAAGCAAAGAAGAGACCCTTCTCGGAGAGTCTCATTGATTTTTCCTCCTGCTTGCATAACCACGGGCAAGGGGTGACAGATAATGTCACAGGGGAAGAGCAGAATGGCCACAGTGGTGGCCGATCGATTCTGTCCGCCTGGCTGGCTGGCAGGAGGCGCTGGGCCTTTGCAGATACTCTGGACTACTCTGTTAGAGCCCCCGTGTGCATGCTTGGTCAGCCGTCTCCATCCTCAGCCTGGGGTCCTCACTGCGGTGTCTGCCCTCTGCATTCTCAGTGTAGTTGCCTGGGGCAGGACGAAGTTTTCCAACCAAGTAAAGATTTGATGTCTCATGGTAGAACTTTCCACTTTCTGCCTCCCAGGCCTGGTCAGTTCCTCAATTTTTTTCTGCTCCAAGTGGCTCCTGTGTCTCTTACACCATATAAGAAATACATGTGTGCACACATGGATACACACACCTATCAAATATTTATGATTTTGAATTTGTGCACATCTGTGCATGTACCCACGTGCACACAGAATGCATACACATATATGCAGGGTATTGAGTGCCTATGGTGTGCTAGCCCTGTGTCAAGACATATAATGACTGATGTCATTCTTACCGAGCCCTTAGCACAGCGCCTGGCATATAGCAAATGCGCATTAAACATCACACATTGTGCAGCCTGGTGGGTGTGGCTCAGACCCTGGAGCCGGTCGGCTTGGGCTTGGCTGTGGCCAACACCGGGCAAGTCCCTCGATCATGCCTCTTTCCTCTGCCCTAATAGCTCAGGTCTCAGGGAGCTATTTTGATGAGTCAGTAAGAGACTAACAGAGAAGAGTTGCCCGGATGTGGGAAAACCTCAATGCATGTGAGCATCTTATACACATCCATCATCAGATTCAATCCTTATAGTGACCCCGTGACCAGATCCTGTTATTCTCAGCTGACAAGTGAAGAACTTGAATTTCAAAGAGATGGGGTCATTCGTGATAGGTCAGGGGGCTAATAAGGGCAGAAATGGGATGGGAGCCCAGATCAGTCTGACCCGAAAGGGCACGCTTGTAATCTCCCAGCCCCCATCTCTGCGTGGTCAGCATCCTGTGAACCTGGCCTGAGACTTCTTCACCCAAGGAGGCTTCCTGGATTCACCACATGAACCCACCACCATCACTCTGCCTCAAGGTTCATGCATTTGGCTTCTTGTGAAGTCTCAAAGCGGAGTCAGATTTTACCAGACCTTCTGCACCTTCTCCCATCCAGCCAGTGGAGGGGTCTTTTTGAGCCAACTGAGGGTCTGCCATGCCCCTTGCATCCAGGACCAAGTCCAAACCTTGAGGCTTGGAATTTGACTTCAATTTCCTTTGGGATCTGGTCCCTGCTTGTCTATGACCTCATTGTTGGCTACTCTCCACTGGATTAGTTACAGTTACTGTCTGGGTCTGAATCCCAGCTGGGGGAGTTACTATCCTTGCCACTTTGGGCTAGGTGACTTGAACTCTCTGGGCCTCAATTTCCACATCTATAAAATGGGTCCAATGATGGAGGTCCCTGAGTGTCTATAACACAAGGAAGTTGTTAACCTAGCATCTGGTACACAGAAGTGCTAAGTAAATGCTGGTTTCTTCTATGATTAAGGAGCCAGCCTTGGGTTTCCCCTCTCTGGTTCCCTCTGCCAAGATATCCCTTCCATACCCAATCCTGTGGCAAACTCTTACGGCTCCTTCAGAGGCCTGCTTTAATGTCACCTTCTCTCAGGAGCTTTCTACGTGCCTCTACCCAGTCTCCCCACAGAGGGGTACACCCATGTCCATCCTACATGCTAGATTTTTAAAAAACCCTTGAAAATATCCAATGCAGCATTTCCCACATGCAGCTTGTGGGGTGGTCATAAATGTTGGACCAAAAAAATTTTTTCCCATGGTCCAATAGGTTTTAAGCAAAGCCAATCTGGCACCTTCCCTGCGGTGGTCCAAGGAGTCTTTTGGCATTGATGCTGGTACAAGGTGTGACCCTCCAGAGAACAGATGAAAGTGCTGTTTTTTCAAACGTTCAGTGGAGAATTTTATAGGGTTTGTGTTCTGGGGAACACTTTTGGGAAATGCTGATTGAACCCAATCACTTAAGTTGACAAGTGGGGAAATGGAGGCTCCAGGAACTGGGTCCACCCAGCAAGTTCGCTGCAGGTGGGGAGCAGGGCAGGGGCTGCCTGCGAGTCCAGGCCCCAGGCTGGTCTTCTCACTTGGACTCCTTGTTCTTTTGCTTGCTCCGGCCCCGCCCCCACCTCCCCTCCGCTCCCCCCAGGCTATGCTGACCACATGGGGCTCGCTCAGTTTCGCCGGCGATTCCAGGTGCTGGACCCTCTCCTCATGAATAAGCTCACGTTGGCCTCCGAGGGAATAGACGAGAGGAAGGTATGTGGGACAAGAGAGGGTGGAGGCCCTGGGTGGCTTCTGTTCCAGAGGGGATTGCCCCCGGGGGGGGGCATCTGGACCAGCGGGGATCGGAGACCCGGAGCACCCGTCTTAGAGCATCACCATGAAAGCTTCCTCAGGGCCTTTGCACTAACAGTTCCCTCTGCCTGGAACCCTCCTTCCCAATTTTGTTGTGGCTTTTGTTGCTATTCAGATGCTGGCTCAGAGCTCCTCACATGATCCTGTCCTAATGTGTGTATAGCACTTCCTTTCTCTGAAATTATGTACATTTCCTCTGTGTTTTCTGGCTTATAGCAAAAGGGCTCAATAAATTGTCCGTTGAATGAATGAATGAATGAATGAACGAATGAATGAATACAAATGCCTAACCTTGTATTTCTGCCCCTGTGTGTCTCCTTTCTCCAACTCCACCATAAACTCCTATGGCCGGAACCTTGTCTTTATCCCAGTGTCAAACCATCGATAGATATTTCTGCCGAGAATGGCCACTGGTCTGTCGATGATCACAAAGCCCTTTAGAATTTGCAAAGCCCTGCATCCTCCCGACAGCTCTGCACACCGAGAGCCATTGCATCCCTCTTACAGATGAGAAAAGGGAAGCTCAGGGAGATGAATTGCCTCCCCTGAGGCCACACAGCCAAGCATTTGTGGGTTTTGTCCGTGAACCCAAGTTTGTTGCTTCCAGGGAGGGCGGCTGAGAAGAGCAGGGTCAAATAGCTGCGATTGGCTCCCAGCTGGGGCTGCATGAACGTAAGTGAGCTATGGCATCTTTCTGCCTCAGTCTTCTCCTCTGTAAAGTGGGCATGACAACAATGCCTCCCTCCAGAAAGGGTTTAGAGGATTACATGCAGGGGTGGAGTTCATGGGCTTGACATCGCTACATCATAAGGGCTCAGCGTACGTGAACTACCATCATTAGCCTGAACATCAGTACTGGCATCGGCATCCTCTTGCAAGGTCAGAGGGATGGCAACCGAGCCACCCAGACCCCATGTTAGCAACCACGTTGAGACTCCACCTCCAGGGGAGTGTGCCCACATGTGTCTGAGATCAGCCGCACTGGAATCCTCAATCGGGGAGTCACGAGGCAAGAAGAGTAAATGGAGTCACAATTCTTAGGTCCTTTATGGCTTTTCACTGCAGTAGGGATCAGGGTACAGGTCCCCTCCTGCAGACAAGGCAGCACCTTCGACGTAGCCCTGGGGAGGGGACATCAGACCCGACTGGTGTGCTGCAGGGAAATCCCCTCCCTTGGTGGCAGCCCCTTTAGGAAGTCCTGAAACTGCTTGGCTTGATGCCACCAGCCAGTCTGTACCAATCTTCACGTGGGGTTCCTTGTCCTTGGTCAACCCAAACTTGATCTGTATTTCGAGCATCTGGAGTGGGGCCATGGAAGAGGTCTTGGGCTCTTCTGCAGTTGAAAACAACACCGAGGTGGGGTGTGGGGGAGTTTTCTGCGGGGGCAATAGGTAGAGCATATGGTAGGATGCTATTCTGGACGACGCAGCAGTCCTCTGTTGTAGCCAAACCGAAACCACCTCCACACACATGCTGGAGGGCCTCGGAAAATGGAAAATTACAAGTGGAATGGACTTGGTTGGTAGTTTTTCGCTTCTTCTTATTCTCTTTTTATTTGCTCACAAATTTCATTTGCTACGGCATAGAATTTCGATAGCAACAAAAGGAAACACCACCCTGCTTCTTATGAAAAAGCCGATAAATATTCATTTGCCAGGCAACGTGATGCCCCATGAATTATACATGAACACGTGCTTGGGTGGGCAAACCGTCAGCCTCTGTGTGCAAAGCAGTTGAGACCTCAGGATTGAAGAAGACAGGTTTGACAGCTGGGAGAGGTCAATATTGTCCTCAGACGCTAGATGGCAGCAGAGAGAATTCATTGTCAGGGTGTGAAAGGGGCCCTGATGAGGTCCCCTGTGTGCCGGATACGTGGTACCCCACCAGGACTCTTTCCCAATAATGCACACTCGTTTGGTGGGCACCTGCTAGATACTTTGTGTTCCTCGAACAAAAATAGCACGTGCCTTTTACCACATATGCGCAAACTCTCATCGCAAAATCGGCACGATGTCAAAAATTTCAGATGCTTCACCTGAAATAGACCTCAAAAGATAAAGTCTTCCCATTGTGGGAATTATCCCCATTTTATAGCAGAGGCAACTGAGGCCATCACCGCCCAGCCAGGTACTGGTGGAGCTGGGATTTGAACTTGGGATCTCAGATTCTGCACGCAGGCCTTTTTTTTTTTTTTTTTACTATTGTGGGACAGTAGACACAGCATCAAATTTATCATCTTAACCATTTTTAAATGTACAGTTCAGTGGGATTGAGCATTCATTATGTTGTGCAACCATCACCATCATCCGTATCCAGCACCTCCGTCATCTCCTAAAACTGAAACTCTGCCCCCATTAAACACGGACTCCCCATTCTCCCCTCTCCTCCAGCCCCTGGTAACCACCATTCCACTTTCTGTCTCTATGAAGTGGATGGCTTTACCTCATATAAGTAGAATCACACAGTACTTGTCCTTTTGTGTCTGGCTGATTGCACTTAGCAGAATTCCTCAATATTCATCCACAGCTTAGCATGTGTCAGAACCTCCTTCCTTTTAAGGATAAGTGGTATTCCATTGTGTGTATATACAAGCATTTTGCTTATCCATCTGTCAATGGACACTTGAGTTGCTTCCGCCTTTTGGCTGTTGTGGAAAATGCTGCTATGTACATGCATGTACAGCTAGCTCTTTGAGACCCTGCTTTCATTTCTTTTGGGGTATATACCCAGATGTGGGATTGCTGGATCATATGGTAATCCCGTGTTTAATTTTTTTTGAGAAAATGCCACACTGTTCTCCACAGTGGCCGCACCATTTTATATTCCAACCAACAGTGCACATGGGTTCCAGTTTCTCCACATCCTTGCCAACACTGGTCATTTTCTGTTGTTTCTGTTTTTGTTTTGATGGGAGCCATCTGAAGGGGTGTGAAGTGGCATCCCACTGTGGTTTTGATTTGCATTTCCTTGAAGATCCGTGATGTTGAGCATCTTTTCGTGTTCACATAAGACTTTTGAATGGGAGCCCTTTGAGGATAGACAGGGCGACTGGTGAATTTCTGTACAAAATGTGCCATCCGTGATATGTTAATTTAAAATCATTATCCTTGATTCCGTTCAGCTTTCACCCAGTGTCTGCTTTGCATCAGGCCTTGTGCTGGGTGCCAGAGATACAGGGATGGACAGAACATGATCTCACTGGGTGAGGGAAAGACTAATGCTCTTTCCATGCAGAGGGATGGCTTTGGAACACCCCAGGGGATGCCCCTAAAATGTTTGATGTTTGCAGTCGAGGTGAGGCTGAGGCATTTAGGGAAGACTCATCAGAGGAGGTGATGATTGAGTTGAGCCCTATGGGACAATTTGGAGGAATTAGGTAAGGGAAAGAGTGAAGGGCAACCCATACTGTGTATAGCATATGCAAAGGTCCAGTGGCAAGGTTGCATGGCTAGTTTAGTGTGGCTGGAGCACAAAGGATGCCATGCATCAAGAATAGGGACTGAGGGTGTTGTCAGGGGCTGGGCCATGGGTCCTTGTTGGCAGGACAAGAGAGTCTGGGCTTTATCAGGTGGTCAGTGATGGTCAACTGAGAAGTTATTGGCAGGGGCATGGCCTAGAAACCTGACCTTCATTTTTGAACTGGCTTAAGCAAAATCATGAAGGAAGTCCAGTCCACTCTGTCCTTCCATGGTCCTGTCTAGGGAGCAGTATCCTCATCCTGATCTCCAGCTGTTCAAGATGCCCCCGTCCCATCTAGATACCCAGGCACATGCTTGGTTCTCCAGAATGACCCTGTCCCCCGCTCTGATCCCCTTGGGTCCCATTCCTCTCCCCCAGGTTATCCTGTCTAGCTAAGATTATGCATCCACCTGCACTGAAACCCACCCAGAATGACCACAAATGGTGGACTCTCAGGCAGGTCATTCGAGGGGTTCTGTCAGCTCACCTTGGCCATGTCCCAGATTCTGGTCTCTTCGATCTCTCTGCTGTTCAGGCAGGACTTGCCAAGTCTCCCCGATCAATGTGAGGAAACCCTAAGGCCTGCCCTCTTCTCCTCAGAGAGCCTAAGTGTTGATTGATTTTAGCCAACAAAATCTGTCCCAGCAGACTTGATCTGAAGAACACAATTAAGGGATGTCAGTCTGTCTTCTCGAAGGCAGACCCTTGTGGACACCCCCAGTTTCCTCTGAATTTGTCTGAGGCCCTTTCTGCTAGGGAGGGGCCCCTAGGAGCCCAAGCCTGGGCGGGGGGAGCTGTCCACTGTACAGTGCTGAACCATTATTCAGGGGTTATGCCATGGCCTTAGCCCCTTCAATGTATTCACCGTTCTTTTCTTGCTCACCTTACTGACTTCCTCCAGCTGGGGTTTACTGTTTTAATAATTGTACACATTTTCCATTCAGAGTTTTTTTTTTAAGATTTTGTTTATTTAGTTGAGAGAGAGAGTGAAAGAGTGAGAAGCAGGGAGCCCAATGTGGGACTTGATCCCGAGACTCCGGGATTATGACCTGAGCCAAAGGCAGACGCTCAACCAACTGAGCTACCCAGGTGCCCCTCCATTCAGTGTTAACCAACCCAATTTGTGTGTGTGTGTGTGTGTGTGTGTGTTCATACAGCATTTTATATACAGTTCTGAGCATATGGAGTTAAATAACAGAGACATAGTTCCACCTTTATGGGTTGATTTGATCAGTGCTCCAGTGGTTGAAAGCATGTGGTTTAGAATCAGACAGACTTGTATTCAAATCCTCATTTCTGCCATCTCTCCATTAATCCACACCCCTTGATATCTGATAGCTGCATGAACACGGGCAACACTCATAGGGCATAGCAAAGTGCCTGGCACCTAGCAGATATACAACAGATGGCAGCCACTGGGCCATGGTGGCCATTGGGTCATGGTGTGGGTTTCAGGAAAGAGGTGCTGTTCTCACAGCGCCAAATGGCTCCCTGAATGAGCATTCCATTCCACAGACACGGAATCTTCACACCACACTACATGCTGAGGAGTGATTTGGGGGAAGAATTCCCTTCCATGGCTCTCCATTATTCCTGGAGTCTCTCATTGCCTGTCTGGCATGTTCAGCTTAATGTGAGATGTCAGATCACATGCTTATTGGGTGCATCCTTGTCGAACATCAGAGAGAACACTCTTTGCAAAGTTCTAGGACACAAAGGGCCTCTGTAAGTGGAGGCATGAGCTGGTCTTCTCCCAGGTGATTCAACAACTTGTAATTTGAGCCTGGGAGGGTGGAGGTAAAGGGTGTGTCATCACTCTACAGAGCCCAAGAGGGCCTGATAATCTCCGAACCTCTATCAGTTATTAGGACTTACTGACACGTAGCATGAGCCAGGCACGAGAGTGAGCACTCTGTGCATTATGATAGCTGCTTGGTGGTCTGTGTTAAGCCCCACATCGAAGCCCACAAAGGGTTTCTACTGACTGATTTTTTGTTTTGTTTTCTTGAGAGTATAGGTCACCACTTTCCAGTTTCTTTGTATGTCTTGTATATTTCGGTTTTTTTGGCTGAAAACTGGACATTTTAGATAATAAATAATAGCATCTCCAGATTCTGATCTTTCCCCAATTATTTAGTAATATATGTGGACCAGATTTATGGAGTCTGTCTCCCCCATGGTATGAGGTTACTGATGTCTCTGTTTGGGTTTTTCATTCCTGTTTTTATTATAAATCCTGGATTCTCAGGGCCTGCCCCTTTGTCAACAGAGCTTAGCACAGGTTGTAATCAAACACCGTGAATCTGTGAGCCTTTGTAATCAAACACCGTGATTCAGTGGAGCTACGTGTGGGTTGGGCACTGTAGTCAATGTTCAGACACTCACTGTTGTGCCACAGATTTGACTCTCTGGCCCTTTCACAGATTTTCTGTCTGTGTACATGGCCTTACGTTTAGATGGGGATGTGTAGATGGCTGGGGGCTCTCTCAGTCTCTCCTGGGCCTGCGTGTAACCTCGAGCCTGTGTGCAGCCCCCAGATGACCAGGCACATGTGGGGGCTTGCCAAGGCCCACATGGCTGTCCATTCCCTATGTCCCTTCATCAAGTTTCGGGCTAGTCAATGTCTATTGCTTGCCCCAGTCCATATAACAATCTTACGCTAGCTGTGCTATTGACCTTCTCCATTTCTTTGCTGCCAAGATCACTACTGTTTTTGACAATGATCCTGGGCGTGGAATTTTCCTGTACTTCGCTCCGTCTAAGTGAGCCCCCTCTCCCAGCAATACCACTGGTTTTTACAGCTTGCCTCTCCCTGTAGGATTATCACAGTGCCAGAGATTGGTGGGGGACTGGAACAGCCCTGGTCAAGATGGTTGCAATCTCCCACTGTTCTTACCTGAGATTCAGTAGTTTTTTTGTTTTGTTTTATTTTGTTAGCAAATGCTTCTCCATTTGTTGTATCCCCTTGCTCAATTTCCAGAGTATTGAACTTGTTGCTTTCAAAAATTGTATCCATTCTTATCACTGCTTTTTTGGGAGGAGCCGAGGATTTCTCAAGCTCCTTCCTCCACCATTCTGTAAGTCTCACGTGTTACCTCTGTGACCTCATTAAAGCTCCACTCCATCCTTGGAGGATGGACATGATTACCCCATCTTGTAGCATAGGACATGGGGGATCAGAGAGGAGGTATGGCGTGCTCAGGATCACACAGCCAATGAGTAGTGGAACTGGACAGGATCCCAGCATCAGAAGGCAGAGAACAAGCTCAAGAATCTGATTCCCTGGGGTTGGCTCTCCCTCCACCATTTCCTAGCACGTGATTTCATTACACCGGCCTTCACTTTCTTTGTAAAACAGGCATCAAGTCGTACCTGTTGCAGAGGTTTGAAAATAAAATGAGTTATGTGGCAAGCACAGAGAGCCATGCTAAGACTCAAAAGCACAAGAGCAAACTGTTTTCTTGGAGCAAAATGGCCATCGTTTTATTCCGTATTCCATGTGGGGAGGGATAAACCTCAAATATCTGGATAATTAGGGTGGAATAGCTGATTCCTTAAAGATGCGGGACAGGGAAGAAATCTGTTACAGTAATCCCAATTCTTGCCTGTCTTCCATCAACTGGCTGCTGGACAGTGATTGACATTGTGTAGAAAAAAAATCTGATCACTGGTTAATTGACCTAAACAAGTGCCAATTTCATATGGTTCAATCTAAGAGTAATATTTGTTATGATAATAAGAGCAATCAAGTGCAACATTGCTTACAAAGACCTTTACACATATTCTCCATTCATCATGCCAACACCAGTATGGTCGACGTAGGGCACATTAGCGACATTTTGCAGGCGAGGAAAATGAGGACAAGAAGCATAGTTCAATGCCTGCAGCCACCTGTTGGCTCTATCCTTTGGGACGTAAGCTTTCTTGTCTATAAAATGAGATCAACAGGACAGAATGTCTTTGTTAGGCTTGATCTTTTTTTTTTAATATATATATATTTTTTATTCTTATGTTAATCCCCATACATTACATCATTAGTTTTAGATGTAGTGTTCCATGATTCA